GTGGGGGCGCTCACACAGCGCTTCTCGCTGCAGCCGGGGGAGAGCGGCACGCCGAAGCGTCGGGAAGCACGCAGGTGGATCGGTCTCGGTCAGTCACGGAGAGGGTCTCTGGCTGTGTTGACGGTGACGATGACGACGGCGATGATGATAACGGTGGCGACTGACGACGACGAGGATGACTATGATGATGAGAATTGGAATGATGGTGGCGGTAGTGGTGACGAAGACGACGATGACGACGACGACGATGCAGCGCAGTGAACCAACAAGTCGGGGGTGCTGGGGGGGAAACGGAGAGGGAGTGGGCGTTTTCATGGTTTGAGCTCGGTGATGGTGATATAGTACGTGCTCATGGTGATTCGCATGGCCGTTGTAGTGACGGTGTGGTTGGCACGGGCGTATCCCACGTGGTGGAAGAGTAGGAATAGAGGGACTTGGGGGGGGGATGCCCGCAGTGGTGCCCTGGTCCACGGACCCAGGCGCGGTACATCGATTCTGGCGCGCTCGGACTGGATGTCCATCGTTTGCTCTGGAACTGTGCCGTCGCGGTTTGCTGCGTGTCCTTTCATGGAGTAGTAGGCGGGGGAGGGAGGTGGGGTAATAGGAAAAAGAAGATGAGGAGGATGCCTTCTTCTTGAAAGCCTGCTCGGATTCTACCGCTCTTCTTCTGAAGCCCTCGACAGAACAGCTCGAACCCATTGAGGCTTCCGCTTCTGCTTTTACATGGAAATAAGTGTTAGTATTCTAGACGCTTCGCATAACTCCACCAGCCCATCTAGAACAGATGTTCACACATATTGCCCTGATCATGGATGTGAGGGAGAACGCAGGGGCATACAAGGGCTGGGTAAGAAGTCGTGCCCCAAGAGGGGGAGGACGGATGAGAAGTCGGATGAGAAGCAAGAGGAGGAGGAGGAGAAGGAGAAGGAGGAGGATGATGAGGAGGAGGAATAATAATAAGAGGAGGAGGAGTAGGAGGAGAAGGAGAAGGAGGAGGAGGAGGAGGAGGGGGACTCGGAGGAGGAGGAGGAGCAGAAGAAGGAGGAAGAGGAGGACGAGGAGGATGAAAAGGAAGAGTAGGGATCGGGGGGGAAGAAGGACGATGCAAGATGAGGATACGGCTGATGAATTTGATGATGATGCTGCTGCTGATGATGATGATGATGCTAAGGATGATGATGAGGAGGATGAGGAGGATAGGAGGAGGAAGATGACTAATGGGGGAGGAGGAGGAACATACTGCTGCTGCTGATGATGATGTTTGAATGATTTAATGATGATGCTGACGATGATGATGATGATGATGATGATGATGATGATGACGATGCTATTGCTGATGCTGATGATGCTGCCGATGATGCTGATGATGCTGATGATGATGATGATGCGGATGACGAAGATTAGGATGATGTTGCTGCTGCTGCTGATGATAATGAGGATGCTGATGATGCTAATGCTGCTGCCCATGGACATGATGAAGATGACGATGCTGATGCTGCTACTGCTGCTGCTGCTGATGATGATGATGATGCTGACGATGATGCCGATTCTGCTGCCGTCATTGTTGTTGTTCATGATGGTGGTACCGACGATGACCATGATGATGCCGATGATGGTTGAGTATGTTTATGCAGCTGCTGCTTCTGATGATGATGATGATGATGCTGATGATGATGATGATGATGATGATGGTATGGATGTTGCTGATGCTGATGCAGCTGATTCTGATAATGACGATAATGTTGATGACGCTGTTGATAATGATGATGATGATGATGATGATGATGATGATGATGATGATGCTTGTGATGATGATGCTGCTGATGCTGCAGATGATGACGATGATGATGCTGATGATGCTGATGATGATTATGGTGGCGGTGGTTATGATGATGATGGTGGTTGTGGTGATAATGATGATGGTGATCATGCTGATGCTGATGATGATGCTGCTTCTGATGATACTGATGATGCTGCTGATGATGGCGATGCTGCTGATGATAATGGTGATGATGAGGATGATAAGGATGCCGATGATGGTGCCAATGCTAATGAAAATGATACTGACGATGCTGATGATGATGATGCTCATGCTGACGATCATCGTGCTAATGCTGATGCTGATGAACCTGATGATGATGCTGAGATGATGATCATAATGGTGATTCTGATGATCATGATGATGCTTATGATGATGCTGCTGATGCTGCATATGAATATGATGATGCTGATGCTGATGACGATGACGTTGCTGCTGATGAGGATGATGAGGTTGAGGATGATGCTGATGATAGTGGTGACGATGATGATGATGTTGATCATGATGATGATGCTGATGCTGATGATGCTGATGATGATGATGCGGTTGAGGATACTGATGATGGTGATGCTGATGATGCTGCTGATGCTGATGATGCCGAAGTTGCTGATGATGCTGATGATGCTAAGGATGGTAAGGAAGATCGTGATGCTGATGCTGCTGATGATGATGATGTTGATGATTATGACGATGATGCTGCCGATGATGATGAGGCTGATGATGATGATGATTATGATGATGACGCTGATGATGATAATGCTGATGATGATGCTGATGATGATGTTGAAATGGATGGGGATGATGATGAGGATGATATTCGTGATGGGGATGATGAGAGCGATGATGATGCGGATGATCGTGATGCTGATGATGATGACGATGATGCCGATGATGATGATGCTGATGATGCTGATGCTGATGATGGTGGTGGTGGTGGTCATGATGGTTATGTTGTTGATTATGATGGTGATGATGATGATACACATGATACCGGTGACGACGATGATGATTCTGATGCTGATGCTAAGGCTGATGCTGCTGATGATGATACGAATGACGATGCTGCTGCTGATGCTGATGATGATGCTGATGCTGATGATGGAGAAGACGACGATGATGATGATGATGATGATGATGATGATGGTAATGATGATGAACATGAAGATGAAGATGAAGATTAAGATGACGGTGAATCTCGAGACGACGATGATGCTGCTGATGTTGATGTTGATGCTGATGGTGATGGTGATGGTGATGATGATGATGATGATGATGATGATGATGATCATGATGATGCTGATGCTGATGCTGCTGATGATGATGATGATGATGCTGATGATGATGATTATGATGATGATGATGATGATGATGATGATGATGATGATGACGACGATGATGATGATGATGATGATGATGATGATGATGATGATGATGATGATGATGATGATGATGATGATGATGATGCTGATGCTGATGATGATGATGATGATGATGATGATGATGATGATGATGATGATGATGCAGTGGGATAGGCAGAGGAGGAGGCGGAGGAGGAGGTGGAGGATGAGGAGGATAATGATGATGCGGAGGATGTGGAAGTGGAGGAAGATGCGGAGGAGTAGGAGGAGGGGTTTGAGGAGGATGAGGAGGAGGAGGAGTAGGAGGAGTAGAAGGCGGAGGAGGATAATTTGGAGGAGCAAGAGCAGGAATAGGAGGATGAGGATGAGGAGGAGGAGGAGGAGGAGGAGGAGGAGGAGGAGGAGGAGGAGGAGGAGGAGGAGGAGGAGGAGGAGGAGGAGGAGGAGTAGGAGAAGGGTGATGATGAGGAGGAGGAGGAAGAGGAGGCGGAGAAGGACGGGGAGATGGAGGAGGAGGATGCCAAGGAGGATGTGGAGGAGGATGATGATGAGGAGGAGGAGCAGGACGAGAAGGAGCAGGAGGAGAAACAAGAGGAGGAGGAGGATCAGGAGGAGGAGGAGGAACAACGAGGAGGAGGTGTATGCGGACAGACGGACGAGGATCTCAGGATGAGGAGGAGGAAGATGAGGATGAGGATGAGGGTGAGGATGAGGAGGAGGAGGAGGAGGAGGAGGAGGAGGAGAAGGATGTTGATGAGGGGGAGGAGGAGCAGGTGGAGGATGAGGAGGAGATTGAGAAGGAGGAGGAGGATGCTGAGGTGGACGAGGAGGAGTGGACAATGAGGACGGTGAGGAAGAGACGGGGTTGGATGCGGAGGAGGATGCGGAGGCGGAAGCGGCGGCGGCGGACGAGGAGGAGGATGCGGATGAGGAGGATGAGGAGGTGGGGGAGCAGGAGGAGGGGAGTGATGATGATGCTGGTGATGATGCTGCTGGTGATGATGATAATGATGATGATGCTGCTGATGATGATGATGGTGATGATGATGATGCTGATGCTGATTCGGATGCTGATGATGCTGAGGATTATGATGATGATGATGATGCTGATGATGATGCTGATGATGATGATGATGATGATGCTGATGCTGTTGATGATGATGATGATGATGCTGCTGCTGATGATGATGATGCTGATGATGATGCTAATGATGATGATGATGATGATGATGATGATGTTGCTGATGATGCTGATGATGATGATGATGATGGTGATGATGATGATGATGCTGATGATGATGATGATGATTATGGTGATGATGCTGATGATGATGATGATGATGATGATGATGATGATGATGATGATGATGATGATGATGATGATGATGATGATGATGATGATGATGATGATGATGATGATGATGATGATGATGATGATGATGATGATGATGATGATGATGATGATGATGATGATGATGATGATGATGATGATGATGATGATGATGATGATGATGATGATGATGATGATGATGATGATGATGATGATGATGATGATGATGATGATGATGATGATGATGATGATGATGATGATGATGATGATGATGATGATGATGATGATGATGATGATGATGATGATGATGATGATGATGATGATGATGCCGATGCTGCGGACGAGGAGGAACTGAAGGAGGAGGACGAGGAGGAGGAGGCGGAGGCAGATGAGGAGGCGGAAGCGGATGAGGATGACGAAGAGGATGAGGGGGAGGAGAAGGATGCGGAGGAGGAGAAGGGCGAGGACAAGGACGAGAAGGAGGAAGCGGAGG